GAGAAAGAGACTGCAACAGAAGAGAGATAGATAATCGACGTCTGTGAGAGGGAATGAGAGAGGGGGCGGCTGCTGAGAGTGAAACAGTCAGTGACAGAGTGCACAGCGGGTAGAGAATAAGATAAAGGTAAGAGAGGGGGCGTAGGTTGTGAGGGAGAGATTTCCAACAAATGGGAGACAGTTGTAGGCAAAGAAAAGGACAGATGAGAGTTCCCGCCGTTGCTCCTGGTCGCAGTGCTTGAGCCAATCGCCAGGAAGGATGCGACCCTGGTTGGGCCTGTGGAGGGCATCAGGCAGGACGAGCTCTTGCAATGGGGACATTAACAAAGCGTGAAATTAAAGCTGCCATGCTGCAGGGATCCTGGGCTCTGCCTTAAAATGCCATCATCATCACCCCTCTGATGCCTGCCTGGAGGCTGGAGGGAGGCGGTGGCTGTGGGGCACTGACAGGGTGCTGAGGGGTAATAGAGCCTGCCGTATTACCGTAATGATGTGTGGAGAAAGGACAGAGGAGGGAGATTATAAAACGAGGCTCGAATCATTCCTGCGTGACAGCACTGCTCTATCTGGTCCCACAGGCGGCGGCTCTGCCTCCCAGGTGGAGCACTCATGGAGTGACAGCACTTCTGAGTTGTGTGTGAATTAAGAAATGCTGACAAGGCTTATTTGTGTGCGCGTGTTTTCCAACTCGAACAACTAATTGCATTGCACCTGCATGTCTGTTTCCCCAAGTGGAGTTCAGCTGACAGGATGAGGTGACATTCTGGTAAACACACTATTCAGCGTTTTGATTTATCGCTGACGCCCGGACGTGAAATGGCAGTGGACATAACAACACGTTTCCTCTGCAGTAGTCACTTAACCCTTCTCTTGCGTTAGGTCATACCCCCCTTCCCATGCTATTTTCGGTCAAAATTGACCGGTGTGTTTTGAGTGATATCTCTGGAACCCCTTATCCAATGTTGATGGTTGACATCTCATTTGAACAGTCAAAGCAAGTAGGATCAAGGGATGACAGACAGAATGACACCAGGGGTGAATTTCATATTATTTTTGGCAGTAAGTTCAAAGATAGTGCTTATTTTACATGACTGTATATTATAAAAATGCTTTCCATGTAGGCTGTGTTTACTGGATATGGAAATGATTTAGTTAGTGTGGTAGCTGAGATTCTTCCCGTTCCAATGATGTATGGGATGTATTGATTTGATACAAGAAAGCCAGTGTTTCATGTCATGGTCCGGACCCACCGGTGGCCCCATCAAGTTCAGCATTCACTGTGATGAATATAAAATAAGACACTGATACTGTTTTCCCCAATGAACATGTATTGAAAGAGAAATATACCAAAACAGAACATGTGTGTGTGTGTGTTCACGTGTGTTCACGCACATAGTTGGCAATGCAAAATTGTGGAATGTCACCTCAGGCTCCTCTCCCTCAGGGGCCTCTCCCTCAGGTTCCTCTATCTCAGGGGCCTCTTCCTGGTCTGTTGTAGGCTCATAGTCTGGATCGCTGTTGTCTTCCATTTCTGAGACATCTTCCTCTATCTCCTCTTCATCTGGTTCAATCTCCGCTTCATCTGGTTCAAAAATGTGTCCAGAGCAACTCGTACAGAAAATCGCCTAATCGGTCGCCTGCTCATTGTGTCAATGAGTCAAATGTGAGCAAGGCACAAATATAACTGCTTGAGAGCCAGTAAGGGAGGCGCATTTAGCGCGAGAAAGTGGGAGGTTTGTGTTTCTCAAGGGGCACAGAGCTCGCACCTGTGAGAAGGTATATGATACATTGTATCATACAGCGCGAGAAAGGGAGAGGTGTGTGTGTGTGTGTGTGTGTGTGTGTGTGTGTGTGTGTGTGTGTGTGTGTGTGTGTGTGTGTGTGTGTGTGTGTGTGTGTGTGTGTGTGTGTGTGTTTTCCATCTGCAGGATGAACATAATACACTCATACCCATTCATTTTCTATGGCTGTCATATCTGACCGAAAACGTCAAGGGTGTTTCACTGTTGAATAAAGCACTCACAATTCAATGCAAGTGGTGATCATCAAGTGTATATGTTCAGAGGCCTAGTGTGGAGGATAACTTAAGGTATTGAGGCAATTGGATGAAAAACATAATATTTATGATTAAAATAAAAGTCATTCGGTCACTTTTGACCCGAAACGCAAGAGAAGGGTTAAGTTTGTATTTTGTTTTAGTTCCCTGTGAGCCTCGTCTCAGAGTTGCCCTTTTAGGGACTCAACGCAGGTCACAGCTTTTACTCTACTCTTATTGTTCTATTTCAGTCCGACAATTTTTTTGTCAATCAATAATTATTGAAGTTATTTACTTCAAAACACATACGTCTTTGCGAACCATATTTTTTCTACCATTTTTGGTTTCCATTCATTTAGGTGAAGCATGAAAATCAATTAGCACTAGCATGAATTAGCAATCGAGTGATCAAGTCTGCAATCATTTTCTGTCAAACTTAAATTATTGATATGAGGTAATGGCAGCACTTTCAGCAGCATGCCAACTGATTTATATACAGAACTGCACAAAGTATAGAACCAAGAGAACCAAAAAGTGATTTGTCAAGCAACAATGCTGAATATTTGTAATTGGTTATAACCATTTCAAATATCTTAAGTTCTTGGTCAAAGCAATTTCACCTTGGGCTCAGAAAAGGCATTGTTCTCTATGTTCTTACATTTTGTAACAGGCCGGGGCAGATAAAGAGGAAAATGGTAGTGAAGCAGTCACGACAGAGGCAGTGTTCAAATCCAAAAAGAGGCTTTATTGCGGTTCAACTAAAAAATACCTTTTACAATAGAAAGGCTAACGTAGCCGGGCCGCTAACCGACTTGCCAGCTTACAACTGTTTCCTCACGCTGGGAGTCTCCTGCTCCCTCCATGTGCCACACACAACTGAGCAACTCTAGGTGCTTTTGTCTCCCTTGAGGGAGTGATTAGCACCAGGTGTGAGGTCTCCCCACCTGCTCCCAATACTGATAATTGGCAGCGGGTGGAGCCACCTATTGGGAATGTAGGTGTCTCTCACTACTCTGCCTCCCAGTCCCTTACACCCCCCCCCCCCTTCAGTTCTGGCCGAGGAGAGGTGACCATGGTCCTCAGGGCATCTCTACGGGACAGAGCATCTGCATTCCCATGCTTAGCTCCGGCTCTGTGGATGATAGAGAAGTTAAACTCTTGTAGTGAGACAAACCACCTTCCTACTTTAGCATTTGTGTCTTTTTTATTTGCCATCCAGATCAGTGGGGCATGATCAGTTACCAGAGTGAAGTGTCGTCCCAAGAGGTAATACCGGAGGCGCTCAAGCGCCCATTTTATTGCTAGGCCTTCTTTCTCCACAGTAGCATACCCTTGTTCCCTTGTGTTCAGCTTCCGGCTGATGTACATGACGGGGTGTTCCTCACCTTGAACCTCCTGGGATAGTACTGCTCCTATGCCCACCTCTGACGCATCCGTCTGCACAATCATCCCCCGGCTGAAGTCTGGGGTCACCAACACCGGCCGTGCGCAGAGAGCCCTCTTAAGTCCCTCAAAGCCGTGTTCAGCCTCTCCTGTCCACTTGACCATTAGCGGCTGTGAGTCTCTGGTCAGGTCTGTAAGGGGAGAGGCGACTGTGGAGAAGTTTGGGATGAAACGGCAATAGCAGGACGTCAGACCCAAGAAGGTTTTCACCTGTTTCTTTGTTGACGGCCGTGGCCAGTCCTGGATCGCCTGAACCTTCCTTTCTTGTGGTCTAACGTTGCCCCGCCCAATGGTGAAGCCCAGATATTCGGCTTCCTCCAGTCCAAGCTTGCATTTTCTTGGATTGGCTGTCAAGCCCGCCCTTCGGAGAGATTCCAGCACTGCTGCAAGCCTTGTGAGATGGCTATCCCATGAGTCACTGTGGATCACAACGTCATCCAAATAGGCAGCTGCATACTCACGATGTGGCCTCAGAACCTTGTCCATCAGTCTCTGGAACGTGGCTGGTGCTCCATGAAGCCTGAAGGGAAGCACAGTATATTGGTACAGCCCTGTGGGGGTGGCGAAGGCCGTCTTCTCTCTTGAGGCTGCTTCAAGTGGGACCTGCCAATACCCTTTCGTCAAGTCCAGAGTGCTGATATATCTGGCTTCCCCAAGCCGATCAATCAGCTCATCTATCCTGGGCATAGGATACGCATCAAACTTGGAAATTTCATTCAACTTTCTGAAATCATTACAGAACCTGTTGGTTTTGTCGGGCTTAGGAACCAGAATGACAGGGCTTGTCCACTCACTGTGAGATTCTTCAATCACCCCCATAGCCAGCATTTTCTGCACTTCTTGCTCAATGGCCGCCCGTCTTGCCTCCGGCACCCGGTAGGGCCGCATCTTTACCTTTTGGCCAGGCTCTGTGTGGATTTGATGTTCCACCATCGTTGTGCGTCCAGGTCGTAGTGAGAACACGTCCAAAGTCTGCTGAACCAGTTCCTTGATTTGTTGTAACTGAGCTTTGGACAGCCCTGGACCGTATTCCACTTCTCCCGACCTCCTGGTCGGGAGAAGAGGGGGACACAACCGGGGAACCACAACACAGCAGTGCCTCTTGGGCGTACCATTTCTTTAACAGGTTAACATGGTATATTTGGGATGGTTTGCGACGGCCAGGTTGGCGTACCTTGTAGTTGACTGGTCCCACCTTCTCTACCACTTCATAGGGACCTTGCCACGATGCCAGGAATCTGTGTTCTGTGGTGGGGACCAGGAGAAGCACTTTATCCCCGGGCAGGAACTCACGCGGTTGGGCACCTCTGTTATACACTTTCCTCTGGGCTTCTTGGGCTTGAGCCATGTGCTCTCTGACCATGGGCCAAACATCTTTCATATGCGTCTACATCGTCTCTACATGCTCAATCAGGCTCCGATGGGGGCTTGGTTGCTCCTCCCAGGCTTCCTTCGCGATGTCAAGAAGTCCTCTGGGCTGTCGGCCGTACAGCAGCTCGAAGGGGTAGAAACCGGTTGAAGCCTGTGGAACTTCCCTGATTGAAAACAGGACATAGGGCAGAAGCTGGTCCCAGTTACGACCATCCTTGTCAACAACCTTCTTTAACATGGATTTCAATGTCTTGTTAAAGCGCTCTACCAATCCGTCTGTCTGAGGATGGTAGACAGATGTACGAAGCTGCTTTACCTTGAATAGCCTGCAGAGACCCTTCATTATCTTGGACATGAAGGGAGTGCCTTGGTCTGTTAGTATCTCTTTAGGAATCCCAACTCGGCTGAATAGGTGAAGCAGCTCCCGTGCAATCACTCTCGTTGTCATGTTCCTCAAGGGAATGGCCTCCGGGTACCTGGTTGCATAGTCAAGGATCACAAGAATATACTGATGTCCCCTGGCAGACTTCACCAGCGGTCCCACTAAGTCCATGGCAATGCGAGAAAACGGTACATCGATTATCGGTAGAGGTATTAGGGGATTTTTAAAGTGTGGCTTGGGACTCATCTTTTGACATTCAACACAGGTGCGACAATAATCCTCTATAGCTCTTACCACCCCTGGCCAGTGGAACCGGCTCCCAATCCGCTGCCTTGTCTTCTCAACCCCTAGGTGGGCCCCTAGGACATGGCTGTGAGCCAGATGCAACACTGTGGACACATATTGTTTTGGGACCACCAACAAGTCTCTTCGCTGACCTTCAACCTCTTTGGCATAGTATAACAGATTATTTTTGATTAGGAAATGAGGACATGTAAGCTCACCTACTCCTGGAACAGGTTTTCCCTCTATTTCCGTAACATTACTGCGTGCATGCAGCAGATTGGGGTCTTCCATCTGGGCGGTCCCGAACTGGCCCTTCAAACTTGGAAGCAATGCGACTTCACCCTCCTCATCCCCTGTGCTTAGGTCTTCAGGGAAAGCAACAAAAGGGTTATCATTTGCCTCGTCTGCACTGGAAGATTGGTTGCCTCTCTGCTCCTCCGGCACAGCACACACAACTTTGGGGAACTGCTGAGGAGACGTACCCGGGGTGGCAATTTGTCCTTTCTCTCGCTTTCCTTTGGCACGCCTGGGATTTTTGGGCCTCCCCTCCTTCTGGTGCCGCAGGCGCTTGTATAGTGGGCAGTCTCGCCCCACCAAGACTGGGACTGGTAGGGAAGGAACCACCCCCACTTTCAGCTCACAGCTGCCTTTAACTGTGGTAAGGTGGACGAGGCAAGTGGGGTATAATTTAGTGTCCCCATGGACACAGGAGACGGCCACAGTCTCTTTGGATGGCAAATGGTCGAGGAGGTGGGGTTGAATGAGGGACACCACACTTCCTGAGTCCACTAGCGCCTCTGCATCTTTTCCATTTACCTTGACTGGTATCATTTGAGCCAGGGAGCTTTCCTGTGCCCAGCAAGAGTCAAGAAGGTGGCAAGGCCTTGACCAGATGAGTGGGCGGTCAGCATTAGCTCATCCTTCCCTGGGCAATCCCGGGCAATGTGGCCTATCTCCCCACACTGGTAGCAACGCGGTTGGCCCTCTGGCAGGTAGGACTGTCGTCGCCTTACCTCTTCGGGTTCCCATCGCGGTTCTCGTGCCCGTCTAGTCCGTGATGCTTCCCCACTGGCTTTCCGGCCCCACTCGGTGTCTGGTCGTGTGGACTTAAGCAGGTCCGCTGTGACCACGTGGCTCTCCACTACGTCAACCAACTCATCCAGACTGGCTGGATTCTGCTGGCTTGCCATTTTCTTGGTCTCATAGGGCAGAGACCGAATATATTTGTCCATCATTATCCTCTCTAAAACACTCAACTTTTCGGGGTCGCAGGTCAGCCAGGCTCTGGTTACCCGGCCTAGGTCATACATCTGGGCCCTGGCTGACAACTCTGGCTTGTATTTCCAGTCATGGAACCGCTGGGCTCTAGCTGCTAAGCTGTAGCCATACCTCGCCAGGATTTCCCTCTTCAAGACGACGTAGACCTTTGCTTGGTCAGGAGGGTGGTCGAAGTAAGCTTGCTGTGCCGTGCCCAGGAGGAATGGTCCAACCAGCTCAGCCCAGGAATCCCTTGGCCAGCCCTCTCTTTCAGCAGTGCGCTCAAAGGCTGTTAAGTAGGCCTCTATCTCATCACTCTCCGTCATTTTGGGGATGAATCGACCTGGGTTAGGCTGCACGGTTGCTTCCCTCTGGGTAGGAGAGGCTGCTGTTAGGCATTTTTGGACCTCCACATGGAGAAGCGCATTCTGTTTCTGCTGCTCCTGTATCATCTGCCGTTGCAGAGTCTGCTGCTCAGTAGAAATACGCACCAACTCCCTTAGTACATCCTCCATCTTGAAACCGAAATACCCTAACTGCAACACCACCACTAGAGTCCTTAGGCCCGCATTCTCCACCAGTGTAACAGGCCGGGGCAGATAAAGAGGAAAATGGTAGTGAAGCAGTCACAACAGAGGCAGTGTTCAAATCCAAAAAGAGGCTTTATTGCGGTTCAACTAAAAAATACCTTTTACAATAGAAAGGCTAACGTAGCCGGGCCGCTAACCAACTTGCCAGCTTACAACTGTTTCCTCACGCTGGGAATCTCCTGCTCCCTCCATGTGCCACACACAACTGAGCAACTCTAGGTGCTTTTGTCTCCCTTGAGGGAGTGATTAGCACCAGGTGTGAGGTCTCCCCACCTGCTCCCAATACTGATAATTGGCAGCGGGTGGAGCCACCTATTGGGAATGTAGGTGTCTCCCACTACTCTGCCTCCCAGTCCCTTACAATTTATTGACTAAAAACAATAGAACTAAAGAACCTTTTTATTTTATGACGCACATTTTCGCTCTTACAAACAACATAAAAAGAAGTAGATTGTTATATCCTCAGGTGATTTGTACACCTAATTACACACAGCAGATACTGTAACATCCAAAAAGGTGTAAGACAAACAGAAGCTGTTGAGTGTAAATGCACTCCTGAAATGAGTCTCTTGTCCTTGTGTCTGCAGTCACTGCAAGGAAATGAATAAATGCATTTCCCCCAGATCTCCTTTAATTTCACTCTTTAAACCTCCTTTGAATCTAAAATGTCATCCGACCCATCCTCAGCTCTCTGATTTCACCCGCGCTCTGTTGGAGGAGGGAATGACTGGAGGACAGCATTATATTTTGTCTGTGTACGTGTCACTGTCAGAGGAGCGCTGGTGCTCTGCAGCGGTGGCAGCCAGTTAATAACCCTGGTGTGAGGTCTAGTGACAGGGCATCATCAGCCAGCTCTGTGCTGCTGTCAGGAGCCATTTACCCCAAGCAGATCCTCCCCTAATGGAACATCTGAGTCAATACAAACAATCATCACTGCCAATCCTACTGAAAGCCAGGAAATAATTTTAGGTGGTCAAGGAAAACATGGCTGTTTGAATCTGTCCAGGGAGTGGCTTGATGTGCACTTAGCGAGTAGACCTATTATAGTATTTCGTCTTTTTGTTGTGTGAATACATTGATGATCGCAGCAGGGTTCTGTCTTCAGCGATGCAAAAGCGACCGCAGCCTCTCAATGAACCGTCTCATTTTGATCTCTCTTGGTGGGCCCGGCCCGTTGTTTGGTGGGGAACAGAAATCTATGTCTGGCTGTGTTGTATCGGCTATAGACCTTATCAGAAACCATGTTTTTCCTCCCACCATGGCTTTAATGAACCGCTCTCAGCATCCACTCAATATCTCTTCAGTGAGGACCTCCATTGTGCCTCTGAAAGGTCAATAGCTGGACAGTGTCTTCGAGAGGCTTTCTGCTTTCCTCTAAGACTCTTAATGGTGTTCAATGGAGAGACCCGCACGACATTCCCATGGGGCCGTTCCCAGATATCCGCCCGTGATACCTAATCCGGGCCCATTAGCTCTCCTTCCAGCCATGAAAGAGAGCGGCTCCCTTGCATCTCAGGAATTAAAAATTAACCAGCTAATATCCATTTGTCTGATGGGATGCTCTGCGCGGTTGAAACTGCAGATTCCCCCAGCGATGGTCTGTGAGGGATGGCTTGTGGAACCCAATCTGCTGCAGGGAAAACGCTGACAGGGATGGCAGGAAGAAACAGAGGGATAATGCACGTCCATCACATCCATCACCACTGACTCACGTCTGCAACAGCTGGCTACCGCGAGATGACCCCCTCCATAAAACCAGAGTCTATTCCTGAGCTGTCATATTGCACACATAATTCCTGTGCTGTTTCCTGTGCAACACCGCATCGTGACCTTGCTGTTATTGTTCTTACATGTGCAGTAATATCAGTTAGGAGGAGAGGGAGACCTACATGACACACACCATGCAACACGTCGCATGTTCTGTCATGTCCCGCGGTATATATTTAACATTACATGAATAATTAATGTATCATTACACTGGATGGTTTGTTGTGCTCGGAAGTGCTGCTCTGCAAAAGGGAAATACTGTATATCAAGTGTCACAGAAGCAGAGTTGGACACTCAGCTAAACCCATTGCAGAGTATAAAACAATTTGTGCTGTGTCGCCTCCTATTCCTTCTTTAGATCCTTGTGCTCAAGGGCCTCGCCAACCTGCTGCCTACCATGCATCTCTCCTCTATTGCTGAGTGGCTAACTACTCTCACCACAGTTAGGGGAAAAAAGGAAAAGAGAAAAACAAAGAAGAGGAGGACAAGCTTCTTTCTCTGCCCTCATCCCTCTGCAGGAATTGTTCTGCCTTTGATATCTTCTTTTTTCAATAACCAAGGGCTCTTTTCACTGTTGCCAACTCAATGAGAGCTTATGTGTCCTTCATCCAATTCCAGCCCACCACTCTCTTTCTTTCTCTCTCTCTCTCACTGCTGCTGTCTCCTCCTTTTTGTTTCTCTGCATTGCCCCTTTCAAATATAGCTTCAGTGGAAATGTTTTTCTTGTGGCTCCAGCCTTTGAAGGTCCCGAGTATTTCAGATAATTCATGTCTTTCTTGTGGCGTAAGAGGTGTGCTTGTGATGCAGTAAAATGTTGTTTCGTCAATCAAGTCCTTTCATCCACAATTAGACTCCTAAAGGAAATTGTCTTAAATCTTTGCATGATAAATCAGTACTATAGACGTTAGACATGAATGGCTTGTTAAGATAGAGAGAAGACAAACTCTAATCTGCATTGTCACTGAGAGACAAAACTTAATTTCCCACACTAATAATGGAGAACAGATTGCTTTTTTACTTAGCGAGTGTTGAAGCTTGTATATTCAGAAAAATCGTATTATTTATATTACTATCTATATCATTGGCAACTTCTATGTGGAATACAAATGTACCTAACACCACTACCACACTGTTACTCGGGTTAATCAACAATGAAAAGACTTCAGAATTTCTAGTCTAGCACTGAAAGAAATTAGTATTTGTAGCGTATGCTAATCATAGTAAATGAGTGACAACATAGACTAAATTGACAGAATGGAATACACAGTATATTCTTGTAAGATTGATGTTTTCATTTTCATCTCAGTTAGTACTTTAGGATTCCTTTCTGCTCATCACTACTGCATTTCGCGAATTTCATATCCAAAATTGAGACTGAAAACACATTACCAGCTCTCACACTGCTCAATAATGAGTGTGACTTTATCCTTACAAACATTTGTCGTCAAGAAATGCAGCAAGGGGTCTCAATATCTCCACATGGACCTATTTAATATTAGATTTTTTTATTTTTTTTTCCACTGAGATAGAAACCGCAATCATTAGCATGTTTGACTGCATGTTGGTTAATGATACAAGGAACTCTGTGTGTTCTCATCATTAACTTCCATTACTGTAACTCTTTTCCTGCCTCATTGAATCCGTTAGTTAATTGTGTAACAGTTATAAGATGAAAGCATCCTGCCCTGGTGTCTGTGTAAGGTCTCCTGGTCATTATGCATCATATTTGATTTATTTGTTGTTAGCCTTTTGGGCAAAACATCTTTCAGTTAGCTATAATTAATAATATATCACATAGACTATGGTCAGTATAGCTTGAGAGTGATCCATATTTCAAAATGTCTGTGTTGGAAAGGGCCCGTTTTATAATGACGTTGTGAATAAAATCATTTAGTGCTACATATTTTCTTAAAAACTGTAATGTGATTTTAATTACAAGTGTACTTACTGTGTCTGAGAGGTAAATGTTTAATATCAAACCATTCAGGTTTTCTGATGATATGATGAGTTAACACACTAACATCCCAGTTTCATTAACATACAATTAATTTGCTGGTAAAAATCTTGAAATAGCAATCTCTGAATTGGCATAATCTTACTTGGTTGGATGACAGTGATACAAACTGGAGAAGTACCACAAATGAAAATCAAGACTGAACACAGATGGTGAGATTTCTAGGGCTTAGAAACGTATCTTTGGTGTGGAAATGGCTAAAATCCACTTATTTCAGAAATATGAAAAGGGGGATTTGTAAACTATTGT